ACATCGACGGATTCCTGATAATATAATAAATGTATAATATAAATCACATGATCATATATTAACCAATAAAATTCATTTCACGTGATTTGATTATAATTTGAAAAATTTGGCCGCTAAATAAAAAAGTGGTGGCTTTAGACCGTTTGCACCATAGTAAAAATATAGAATTTTCAATTTTATTATTATTATAATTTTTATATAAGCCTAAATACGAAATTTTGACAAATGCACTTTACACGTATTCAACGATCACGAGGATTTAGCCAATTTAAGGTAATTCTCCCAACTATTACTTGATCATGGTCTCAGTTTTTTAACTTTTCAATCTGTTCTTATGCAGAGCTTTTTATCGAGGACGCCAAATTTATCTATGTCCGTGGGAAGGTTGCAAAGAGCAACGGAATGATATTCCTAAATTAAAAGGTATTAAAAAGATGATAAGAAGTACTTTCCGAAACATGTAGTTGATTTCTTGTAGAACATTTGCGTAACCACACCAAACAAAAAATTTTTTATTGCCTGCTACTTTAAAAATGATCACATTGACCTTATTATTTCTTTCTTGTTTAGGCCCAATTTGCAATGGTTCGGATCGATTTGGAACCTTGATACACTTAATACACAACCATCGTGATAGCATTATGGATTATACAAGCGCAGTTGTTATGAACCAGGAAAAAGGTACTCTTTCCAAGTTATTTCTTATTGAACAAGTTATATCTAAGACGTGTTTTAAACTTCCCTTAATATATTTTTTTCGTTGTCAAAAAAAAGATAATCAAGGCGATGAGCTCGAAGATGAAGATTATCGTTTAAAGCACATTTAGATCGGGATTATGTTGAAAAATTAAAAGAGTTTACGGGCTTACCCATTTGATTTATAACTATTTTTATACTAAATTTATCATTGCGAAATTTTTTTTTTGGAAAATAATTTTATAAATCGTTTATTAAGATCAATTACGTTTAGCACAAAAAAAAAAAAAAAGTAATTTCACAAATTAATTTTTTCAACCGCCTACACAATGGTGTCTTTTGAATACCAGTTACTTTCAAACGTTCAAGTGCAATGTTCTGTGCTGACCCTTTCCCTTTGTGAACCTTTTTATTCCGACCTACTTAAAAATGCCCATTTCAAAAATTTCATCAATTTTGATTCCTCCTAAATCCTAACGCGCACTTTTTTGATCTGCGCTGCGTTGTTTAATTGAACTAATTTTATAAGATTCATGTAATCCTTTATTGTATTCGTATATAAGACGGTCGTTCCATTTGGATAAGATGTCACAGACATCATCAATGGCGTCTCGGATATCTTCGTTACAGCACATTGTCTTTGTATTATTATCTGTAGTATCTTTAGCAAATTCCAAGTCATATAAAGTATTAAGAGTACTTCGCGCTGGATTGAGAAATACTCATCTCTTTTGAGAATGATTATATTGTTCTTATCTTTAATTTCTTTTCCCCAGTAGTTTTTGAAATTTGCCAAATACGTTTCTTCCCCTTCAATTTATGTAGAATCACTTTGTCTCTTGATTGAATACTTTCGGGGGTCTACATTATTCCAACATTCGCCGAATATTTTCGAGGAAAAGAGGATCATAAAATGAAGAGGAATAGGAGGAATGAGGTGAAAGGGAAAGTTCTAACTTTTAACCAAGGTCCTTAATGATATATCACTTCGCCATCCTCTGATTTTCTTTTAAACTTTTGATATCTGATTCACTAAGTTTCAAGTCCTGTGAACTTTTTTTTCCCTATAATTTTGCGAATTTAGAATACCCAATTTTTGAGTAAAAAAGGAAATTGAAATTTTTGTTAATTTTTGGTTCCTAATTTTGAGCACATGGTCAAGTGGACCAATAAAATAAAAATTTATCAAATTTAGATTTTCCCTTTTTCTATAAACAACGATTTTAAAAAAACTGCGCCATTTAACATTGAAACTATTGCTCGTATTTTTAAAAATTCCAAAAAGCATTAACAAAGATTCAATCGTCTGACATGATAATTTAATATTGGAAAAAGAACTGAAGACCATTTTCAATGAATAATTATGAATATTGTACACTAAATAAAGCATGCCAAACATCAAGGATGGTCCAAAGTATATTTTTAATTGTATTTTGCATCAAAAATTTCTTTAATAAACATTTCCAAGAATAATGTATAATAAGGCTTTAAAATCATTAAATAAAAAATAATTCTTTATAAAACGAACAATTCAATAAAAAAATTTAATGATATAACCCTCGTGAATTTATTCATCCCAGAAGTTCAAAAATCCATCAGATATTAAGTGATCATCTGGTAAATAAGCGTAGGAAAAATTTTAATTTCATTCTCGTATAAAAATTTTAAAATGAAGCTGTTAATTTATTAAAAATGATTATAAAGATAAAAAATATTTTAATATGTAAGTATCTGTTATGAGCCTAAAATTATAGTGACACTTTTCACACGATAGAAATAATATATTTAGATAACTATGTAACATACTATATACAGTATAACAGAATAAAAAGAGAAATGAATAAAATTTAAATACTATCATAGTTTAAGTAAATACTATGTCACATTATTTACGTCTCGTACAATATCCGTCCGAGCTGCAATAAAAACCGGAAAGACAGCAAGTACCGTCACCGCAATCTACAGGACAACGAGGAGGAAGACCGCAATAGTATTGTTTGTTATAAGCATAACAAAACGAAGTGCCGTAACAACAACCACCGTATCTACACGGATAATATCCTGCTTTACACTTGTACTGTCTTTTGACCAAAGATGATTGATCCTCGTTTATAGATTCGCGTCTTTTCAAATTAGGAGACGAAGTAGAAGCGAAAGTGATAAATACTACAACCGCGATAACAAGTACTAAGTTAAGTTTCTTAATGGTTTTCATGATTCTAAGTTGTCTTAGATTTAAAATATGTTATTATTTGAATGTGTTAGGGAGCTCAATTAAAATGTTTTATTATTTGAATGTGGTAAGAGAACTTAATTTTATTGATATTTATATTGATTTTTAATATTTATCAAATTTTATTACACAGATACTTGCACATACAGTATCATTTTATTCTTCACCGAACTCCGATTAATCATCAAAGAATTATCTTCTTTCTTTATATGCATAGTCATTTCGAATTTAATAAGATAGTTCCTTGTCTATCGTTCACACTTCATCTATATCGTCATGCATGGAATTTTTATGGACAAACACCTTATCTCTTCTTTCTTTACATAATATAAACTCTAGATTTCCTTCTTTATTTTTTTTCCTTTCTGGTTTTCAATTTTCGATATTTGTTAAACATTACACGTGAGTGTTTAAAAGTGCGCAGAATTAGGGAAATTTCTTTATGAAAAATATCATAAGGATTTGATGCATTATGTAATTTATGCTTATATTGGATGCAGAAAATATTTACAAAATCGTGTAACCGGAATTTTCAATCATAGAACTTTGGCGAAGCGATCAGTATCCATCTTTAAGCAATGATGGAAAATTAGTTATTTTTCAACATTTTAATTGATAAGAAAAAATTTTGTTATTCCTTTGCAAACTGGAAAATCATATTGTATTTATAATAATAGCTGTGAAAGAAATTTTGCAATAGCAAAAGTTTAGCCATGAACAGAGTTACTATAAATAACTAGAAAAGACAGATATTTTACCACTTCGTTCAATAATACATTATTAATTAAGGGAATCACTTTCCTAAATTAAGACAGTATAGTTATGTATGGAGTTAATGCATTAATTTTGGTATAAAAGAATCTTTAAATTGATTCAAATTGGTATACAACCAATTTTATAAAGGCAATTAAAACTATTCAATATATTGTATTTATAAATAATAGAATGTTCTATAAATCATTTACATTAAGTATAATATAAATGTTAGCTAATTTTATTATAATTAATGATTATACATGTTTGTTAAACTAAAAAGAGAAAAAAATAAAGAATTGGTAAAAAGTAATAGATACTTATTTTAATTTATTTAATATTCTAAAACTTCAAGTTACTTAAATCAGA